ATTAAAATCTAATCTTTTCCCATGTGTATTTATATGCTGAACTTCAACCTACAAGGCAATTCTGTGAAAGGAATTAGATATTCTTTTGTTGGAGAGCACTGGAATTATGGTCAGGGATGTATTATTCACTCATTTATTATGAGTATTGCGTTTGTGCCTAGTTTTTGCCTAGGCATTCTATATAAACATAGTCTCTGTTCAAAGGGGTTTATAAACATTTGCCATTAAAGGGACAATTATTTTCTCCTTTTTCATGTAGCAGCTCTGAGTAGGAGGTGAGGGATGGAGGAGAGAGGAAGCAAAGGTTGTACATGCTTTATGACCATAATTATAATTAACAATTTGAGAGATTTAAATTATATTAAATTTTAATTATAATTTACTATTTCAGAGATTAAACCTGATTAAAAAAGACTCAAGGTTATGAGCTGCCTCCCAGATCTATGAGTTATCTCTCTCAGTCTAAACACACAGATATAAATTTTTTTTTTTTTTTCCCTTTTTTGTCCAGCCCCAGTGTAAGGCAGTGCCCAGTGYGGCGATGCCCCGCAGGCAGAGCTGGCCCATGGTAACAAAGAGCTCCAATCCTCACCCGGAGGGAGGCACAGAGAAGGAGAGGCTGCTYGGGGAAGGCTGGATCCAAACGCACAAGGGAGAGGCAGGAGGGATTTTCATGTSGAGCTCTGTTTGGCACAGCTGTTAAACGCCACTTAATTCAGATACACTGAGCGATAACCCCGGCTMAGAGCGAGAGCCGGGGCGGAACAGTAAATGAACGAGGCCACTCACAACCCTGGCCCAGAGTTCTGAAGTGGGCAGGTGATCTGGCTGGTTAGTTCTGATTTATTACAAAGGCATCTTTATGCTTTTTGAATTGCCTTCCATCGCTCATGTTAAACAAAACTGCATTCTTATAAGGCAGTTCATCCCTGCACGCATGCACTAATCGCTCATGTCACACTACCAGCAAAGGCATGGGAAGGAAGGGCACTTTGGTGATGCCTGTTACAAAAAATCTGTTTTGTTTTATTATATTGGAAACAAGCACTTTGGTAAAGCTGCTAGGAACTGGTYGAGATTTACAGTACTGTATCAACATTCTCAGAGACTGATGGTGACTGTTAAAGGTGTGAGACTTTTTCTGGTTTGCAGCAAAATTCCTTTTCACAAGTTGTCCCAGAAGATCTTTGTTTTTAAAAAAATATTTTGCAAAYGGATCCCGTGACGGGGAGAGGTGTGGAATTACGGGGATGAAAGCGCACGTGGAAACATCATCTTCCCGTTTTGTGTTTTTTGATGTGACATTCCTTATCACAAGGGAAAGAGGCGCTTCTGCAGCTTCCCTTCCCCCTGAGCCTCCTACCAGCTAAGAGAGGCATCACAAAGCCACTCAGCACTCAATCTCCATTTCATTTCTTGTCGTTTATTAACACAACCATACTGCTTTGAGAGCTCTGCCCATCCCTTAGTAAAAGCATCCAAAGTGGCTGGAACAACTGGTGAAAAAATGATAAACATTTTCAGCTGAAATTGGTCAGATTATGGGTGAGTTGTTTATAAACATCATGTCTGCAACTGTCAAGGGGTGGAGCTAACATCACTGAAAGATGATAAATTCTGACACGGTGCTCTGAGATTTCACTGCCACCAAATGTAGGTTAATATGGGATTCAATAGGAAATCTGGCTTGTGTATTGCAGTGTATTACAGGAAACGAAGGAACTTGTCATTTGTCTGCAGATTGCTAATTGCAGTTTATTGCACATGCAAAAGGTTAATTTGGGTATGTTACCACAGTAAGCACATGCACTGCCTCAGAATAAACTATACCCCTACACTTGCTGATGATCTGGCCTGTGGGATTTGGGAYGTTATTCTGGAATATTAGGGCAAATAAGAATTTTGAGTAAATGCTGTGACAGTGGGCAGCAGTGTCCTTAGGTGTAAAAATCTAGAATAGAGCAGTTACAAGTCTCTGGTAAGAAATACTTTCCCTTAACCCTTAATTTAATTATTCCCTGAGATGCATGCAATTTATTCTTTGTGGAAATCCAAAAGAGAAGACTCATCTACTCTAAATGAAAATTATATCCTATTCTTATTATTGTTAATGCTTTGTATTTAGGGTAGTGTTTAAAGGTCTGAGATGAATTCATGACCTCTTCATGCTAGGTGCTGTATATACACACACAGTAAGCTCACTGCCTGAAAGACCTTACACTTTAATTAAATAAAGGTTGGAGGAAGGAAGTTTTATTACTTCTGTCACAAATGGGAAATGATAACAGAGAGAAACTAAAAGGACTGAGAATTACACTCCTCCTGCAATGAGTCCTGTATTTGCCTGTAATATATCCTCCCTTCCTGCTTTTGTTAAGTTKCTGTAAATTGGTAGGTAGATGGTTGGTGTCTCCCCCAGAGATGGAGTTTAATTCTGTGCATGTTTCAAGGTTTTACGGAACGAAAGGCGTTCTGTAGATAAGTAACACTTTAATTTAGACCTGATTAAGTTATTCTGAAGCAATACTTTTGTGGAGGGAGTAGTTTTTCATGAATCTGGTGCACGCTGCTTGTAGCTGTACAGATATACTGCTGTGTAGATGCTGCGCTCCCCAGGGGCTGCTCTGTCGGTGCATGGGGGCTTAAGGTACCTCAGCAGAACTTTTAAATTGTTATTATTCCCTGTAGCTTGCTATTAAATGTCTTCTAAAATCGTAAAAAAAAGTATTAGTCCTTAAGATGTTGGAGCATTCCACAGGATTCATGAGGCTCTTGGAACACCAGTGCATGCTGAGTGTCCTACAAGYGCATCTTCTTCTCCCTCTGCTCCCAGGAAGTGGTGTGCTCATTCTGAGATGCATTTTAAATATTTTTAATTAGAGCTTCCAGCTTAACATTAAAAAAATAAAGCCAGTTCTGCCTGGAATCTTGCTTTGGGTTTTTTTTTCAATAGAGAAACATAAACCTGGAGGTAACTTGTTTCCTTTTATCTCCTTGTTCAGTATAATGGAGTGATCTTGGGGACAAACACAGGTTTAAGCAGATGGGGTAGAAGGGGAAGTGAGAAAAAAAATAGTAAAGTCAGGTGAAGAAACAAAGAAGAGGTAAAATCCAAGCACAASCCAACCACTCTCGTCACATCTTTGTATTTCAGTATTTATGGCTCTCCCTGTGGGACTAACGCTAATTCTCTACACCGATGTGGCTTCCCTCATCTCATTTRTGTCCTGTCCTGCCCCTGTCTGGTAAATGGGTACAGGGATGTTCTGTCTCACAGATTTTAGACTCCTTGAATTAAAAAAAATGTGCAAAGAAGCAGACATTATTTTTAAATTATTATTTCATTTAATAACAAAGACTGTTATTTTGTTGCTATAAGCCTTATGGATCCTTGAGCACTTACAAGTAATGTGTTCTTTACCCTAYGGAAAACACCACTGCTGCCTATGGAAGGAAATTTGTAAAATAAGTAATCTTTTAAATACAAACCTTCAGTTCCCTTAGTTGATGGTACAAGCTCAGCACTTAGGAAAGCACACCGCCAGTGTGTACCCTTGCTAGAAAACAATCCACTGGAGCTTTGTTATACAACATTCAAACATCCTGAGGAAGTGACAGTAATTTGCAATAAACACTGCGTGTAAACAATTACCTGTGACTTGTTACACTCGTTTGTACAGGCAGCTGGCTAAACAGATCTGGGTGCACTTGTAAACGTCTGTCCSTGTCACACCTGATACTGGAAAACAATTGCTTATGGTATGATTGCTCTGAAAAAGTCAGTGTTTTGTACCTGACAGCTGGCAAGGACTGAGTATGGATGCTTATAGACAAAGGGAAGAGAGCTGGAGGAATAAAACGGGATGGTAGTGTTTTATTAAAGACAACGGTGAGGGCACTTTCCTGTCTAATCCTCCTGTGAAACGAGGTCTTTGTGACAGGTACTTGACAAAAAAAACCCACTTTTGCTGGATGAAGGGTCCTGTGGCGGTAGAGGTGAAACAAAGTGATTCGGCCATCAAGGCCCAAGGAAGAGGCAGAGGGGATTTATTTTCCAGCGGTTTAGCGGGACGGGTGTGAGATGCTGGTGCCAGTCCGCTGGAGCAGCGGTGCGGGCCCAGCTCCCACCCTGCGGGCTCTGCGTGAGCAGGAACGGGGCCGGGGCGCCCGCGGGCASCGAGCGGGCCGGCACCGGGACACGGGACACGGGACACGGGTCACGGCCTCACCCGCCCCGGGGCGCGCTGAGCGGGGCAGGGCGGGGCCGYGGCTCCCACCGGCACCGAACCGCGGCCAACGGGGCAGCAGCGCCCCCAGGGCCGGGCGGGAGCCGCCTCCACGGGCACCGGGGCGGGCACAGGAGGCTGAGGGGGCTGAGGGGAATGAGCGGCTGAGGGGGCACAAGGGGCTGAGGGGGCTGACGGAATGAGAGGGCACAGGGGGTTGAGGGGACTGAGGGGGCACAGGGGACTGAGAGGGCTGAAGAGGTGAGGGATTGAGGACACGGAGGGGCGGAAGGGTCTGAGGGGGCCCGGCCCGCCCCCGCCCTGCCCCGTTCGGCCTCGCCCACCGGGCCGGGCCCCGCGCAGGCGCACAGCGCTCCGGGGCA